ATTAAAAATGAAAATGGGATGAAATAAAAAATTTTTCAACGTTGAATTCTATGTTTCAATGATTCAAGCTATCTATTTATATAATTTAATTTTCGAAAAAGTCATATTTGAAAATATAATTGTGGATTAAAGTTAAGGTGCCGCGCATGCCCCGCCCTCCCCTACCAATACTAATATCATTAAACACTAAAGTAAGACGATTTTGATTATTTTCATAGGTGGTGTTCGTACTTTTGTGGTGTGGAACCTGCATGATTTGGAAATTTCTTAATATTTCATTAGTGATTGCACTTCATTATCACTACTAATTTATAATTTATACTTTTTTACATGAGACTACATGGAGCATATATTTCAATAAGAAAAGTTAATGCCTCACGCTAATTTCATTGTTCGACGGTTACAATACGGTGCTCGATATTTTATTATTTTACTGATGGTCCATATTCTTTTTTGAAAATAAAACTATCCGATAGATATGAGATGAAAAGTATATATCTAGTTGGCTATCGAGACAAAAAGTATATTTGTGACAAAATTAAGCTAAAATATTATTAAGTTGAAATGAAATATTTATCGCTGGCGGTATTTTCACGTGATATATAAGAATAACTGAATTTATAATGCTCTTATATGAACCCGTTTGTATTATGTTTAGTATGAACCCGCTAATTATTATGCCTGTGCTATTGATTTGGAAAGTACCTTCACATTTTTTCAAACTTATACAATCTATGTTTTACACACATACACACACACACGCACACACACACACATGAATGAATGAATGAATGAATGAATGAGGGGCTGCATATGCAAAACAATTATTGCTCCACTTACCGTGTTACTCCAAGGTTTAACCGGAAATAATAATCTCAACAAATTAGAAATAAACAATGTACAAAGTAGTAGCCACTGTAAATCCAAGTGTCAATCAATGCAATTCTATCCTGCGCAGTTTTTTTTTTTAATTTGTAAAAAAATCCTAAATAAATTTTCAATCGTCAACAAGTTTTGAACTTGATATAGTTATGAACATGGACTCTACTCTAGTTAATAATTTATGGGTTTTCTAATTATTGTTAAATTTTTTTATTCAAAAATTCTTTAACATAATTCGAAAAAATAACCTATTAATATCTCTGTAAAACATGTACAATTTTTTGGTACCTTTTCAAGTATATAGAAGCAGGGTAAAGATAAAGTTCATTTCGATTCGCTTATTACTATAGATCCTCATTTGCGTGTAGTACATATTTATTTCATTTGCAATATATTCATATGCATATACTTTATCAATTGAATTGAAACTAATCCAACAAGTTAATTATCCATCTGCTCTACTGTTAATAAATTTAGGTTATTTTGTTTCCTCGTAAAAATGTAATATACATAATTTTATTAAATTGGAATGATAATATTTATTATTTGTCTTTAACATTCCACACGTCCAATGCTCTTCATTTTGTTTTCATTACCTTTGCTGGAGTGGGCTTGTTTATTTTTATTTCATATAACATATTTCATATTGATTAATAAATAAAGTTCAAATTCTTACTTTCATAACAAGACAGTTTAAATCAATGCTAGTTATCTTTAAAAATTGATTAAAAATATTAATTTCTCTCATATATTTCAGTTTCAACCTTGAGTAGATATACTTTGTCAATTATAAGTATTAGAAAATATACGTAGATAGCTGATGAAAAATAAAATTCAGAATTGTCTTGTTAGGAAAGGAATTTGAATTAGATTGTAGCATTAACTATATTTTATTACCACCAGTCTGTTCATTCTATCTATTGTTTAATTGGAATTCTGCCCTGAGCACGCGTAGTTTTCAGTATAATAATTTTTTTTATTTTACAGTAATTCAAGAACGTATACAAGAATCGCAAACTACTCCTGTAGTTGATCCTGATATTTTGCCTGTTGGGCGTAGGAAGAATAATAAAGTACGTATGTCTAATATCAAACTAATTATTTTTGTTACAAATATTAGTAGATCACAAAACGTTATCTGATTGACAAAATAAAAATAACATCCAAACAGATTCATATGGGTAATAACGTATTTCTAGATGAAGTTGCTTATAGTAATATACAAGTTAACACTTCCACTCCAGCTCAATTTGTTGGGAATTTGCTTGTTCATAAATTCTCAGAACCTGTCTTACTGGTTAGTACGATGTCTGGAAATATAAGCTATAGAAAACTTGGAATTATAAAAAAGAGACTTGAGTCTATAGATGGGGACAGCGATGATGATATTATCGACGTTGAAGGAGATAATGAATTGCAAGAAAATTCGTCAAAACAAAATAAATCCTTAAAATTGAAAGAAAAATGACATCAAATCAATTGGACGCTACTATTCTCAGAGCCTGCAAGAGTAAGCTGTTTGATATTCAATTATTTAATGTATAAATAATAGTAATTCTTACATAAATATTACGAAAAAATTAGCTGATAACATGCTGACGATTGCCTGTTAGAATAAAAAAATTCGAAATTAAAATGTACAATGTAAATAATTAACAAAGCTCTTTTATGGCATTATATCTATATAACAATTTCATAATATTTCTATACTACATAGGTTGAGCTAATATAAAGGGTAATTAAATCGGTATACAGGGTGGACCATTTTAATTGAAGCACCAAGAAATCTTTTTCAAGGTAAGGATGCGTGAAACATGTTTCAGACAAAAGTTGCTGGACTCCGAGGGGGACATAATCGGGTGACCTTGACTCTGACCTTGAGGGTCATTTTCAAGGTCATCCGAAGGTCAACTTTGTTTTTTTAAATAGAAACCCCCATTTTTGACCTCGGATCCAGAAAGAGCGAGAAATTCTACGTTCAGATGACCTATTATACGTGGGGTCTGAGTGACCACCAAGGTCGCCCCCAACATCACGTAAAGTTCAATGTTATTTTTTTCTTAATCTTTCCACCTAACTAACCTAAGATCGGTATGGTTTAGAGAAAAATGATGTAAACAAAAGTTATTGCATTTTGAGAGGGGCATCTTGTGGTGACCTTAACTTCGACCTAAGGGTCATTTTCAAGGTCTTTGAAGGTCAAATTTGTTTCTACTTTTCTATTAGTAGTAACAGTAGTAGTAATTTCTACAATACTTGTTTTAGGAGTGTCTTGGATAGGGTAAATAAATCACACCAAAGTGTACAGTACACAAATTGATCTTATTTATTAAGTAAATAAAGCGCCCACAACAAGGGAGAATATGATAGAAAGGATTAGAATTGCATGTAGACAAATCTCTAGAGATATCTTACTGCGCACTATTGAAAGCTTCGAACAGAGGCTCAGGCAATGCATCGACGTAAATGGTAATAATTTCGAGCAAAACCGATAGGAAATAAGTTTATTCTAGTTTCATCACGAATTGTGAGAGGCAAGGGGACTCACATTAATAAAGCACCCCAAATCGTGAGAGGCAAGGGAATTCATGTTAATAAAGCACCCCGAATCGTGAGAGGCAAGGGGACTCACGTTAATAAAGCACCCCAGAGGGAACATAATTCTATTACGTCCACGTCGTTGTTCCTGGGTAGTGCTAAAGATAGGAAGTTTATGATCTTAAACATCAGCATCGTTAGTACATGGCCAGTCCCTTATTCTTTGGAAGTTTATTTAACAACGGTCATATGCGATAAAAGCTTCGCCTCGAAATGTAACAAAAATAAGAGAATTTTCAAGAATTTGACCTTTGCTTCACATTGAGAATAGAAGTACGACAAAGGTCTTCGATGCTCGTTAAACCTTTTGATGTTTGAAAGCGGCTTCAATTTCTTAAGTAAAAACTGAAATATTGTTTATGTTCTTATGAAAAAAAACTAAATAGATACTTGAACGTAAAATTTCCCGCTCTTTCTGATCCTGAGATCAGAAATAGGGGTTTCCATTAAAAAAATAGAAATGACCTTGAGAAAACCGTCAAGGTCAAGCTCAAGGTCAATTTCAAAGTCACCCCTAGATGTCCCCCTTGAACCCCTACAACTTTGGTCTGAAACATTTTTGCGTAATTTGCTTGTTTCAAAAGTTATTAGACTGGGGAAATTAAAATGATTCACCCTGTATAAGCCGGGACGAGCAATATTGCTACGAGAGAAACCTCCTATCAGGACTGTGATAACAAAGTGTTATCACGAACACATCAGACACTCGCTTAACCCATTAAGTGGCAAACGTCCATGGCTGCAATGCTTCGATTTGACATTATTCCATTCGTACAATTCTCAATAGATTTGGATGAAATTTGGTTTCCTTATGTTTTAGTCTGTGCTCTTTCGAAAAATCACCAAGTTTTTTTGAAAATCTTGACAGAAAAAAAAATATGGCCGATTTTTTCGAAAAAATTCCAAATTTCTTTCAATTTTTCTCCAAATTTCGCTCTGCTGAAAAGAAATGGACCGTAAAATAGGCTCCCTAAGTAATTTTTTTCGCGACATGGGACAATTATCTTTCAAGCGCATTTGACTTTATTAAAAAATGTTGATTAGAAAAAAAAATATGGCGGTTTTTGTATCGTAGTGCAATTTAGAAATTCATGATTTTTTTACTCGAAAAATATCAACTTTTAAAAAAAATATTATAGAACAAAAAGTGCTTAGAAGTGGTCAAGAAACATGTGAGAATTTTTGAAATTTGAAAATTTTTTTTAAAATAAAAAATTGAAAATTTTTGAAAAATGTTATAATAATTAAGTTTCTCTCTAAACATGTTTTTTTGACAATTCTTAGTGATTTTATGGCTGGTATGTATTTGAATTCAACCGAAAATGTAAAGGAAATACAATCCAAGTTTTGCGAATTTACACAGCTAAATAAAATTTTTTAAATTAAAAAATCTCCACTTTAATAGTTTTTTTGTTTGTATTTTTGTTTGTATTTTTGTATTTTGTAATTTTTGTTTTTTTGTATTCAATTTTTATGTTTTTAAAAATATTTCTTTTTGACAATCATTTGTTACCAATTATTTACTTGTGTAAATTAGCAAAGCATTGACTACAATAATACTTTTTACACTCTTTGCACATGTAAAACGTACGAGTAGCACATCCTTGTTCATTGCAAGCTCTTCTTCTGATAGTTAGCCTCAAATTGTGGTTTTTCAAATCACCTAATTTAGCGTTTTTGACATAACTATCTACAATACTCAAAGCGAATTTCTTAGCGCTTACTTTTTTTTTGCCTGAACAAGCATTATAGAGTATTACTGCATTTGCAATAGAAGACTGGATAATTCTCATCAATATTAGCCAAGTCCATCTCTTACTTCTAATAATAGGTAATAAAGCACTACAGTACTGATCGTGTAGGTCAACACCTCCCATAAATAAGTTATAAAGTGAAAACACAAGTGGCATAGAAATGTCAGTTATCATTTTTTTTTCTTTGGAGTAGCGTTTCACTTCTTTTGTTGGTGTAACACGAGCTGTAGTTGAAATAATCGAAACTTGTTTAGAATCTACCACGGTTACGAAGTTCATTCCGCTATTTTTTTCATATTGAACTTTAAAAGTTCCACGAGGAGCTTTTTTATCAATTTCATTTTTTACTGGTATACGATCTTTCCTAATTACACCAGTAGCTCGTAAGCCAAGCTTTTTTAAATGAACAAGTAAGTCTGGATTTGTGTAGTAATTATCAAACCAAAGATGATATTCTTCAATTTTCTTTCTAGAAATTGATGACAGTAAAGCTTCGCTCATAGATAAAACAGCTTGGCTTCCTAGAGCAATACTTGACAATTCATTATTATGAGTGCCTTTGCCACAGTATATGTCACAGTTAAAGAGGTATCCATCAGCACCACAAATTCCAAACTCTTTTATTCCCCATCGAGTTGGTTTATTTTTTATAAATTGTTTGATCAACAGTCTACCAAAAAATTTAATCATCATTTCGTCTATGGATAATCCTATCTGAAAAAAACCAAACTGTTTTATATTTTTCCTAAAAATTTCTAATATAGCTCTAACTCTCCAAGCACGATCTTTTTTATTTTTATCTGTAGGTTTGGAGCATTTGATTTTTGATTTGATTTTCAAAAACTTTTTCAACGACATCAATGATCTAACTACTGGGGACTCGAGTAACTCATTTTTGGACCAATAATCTTTTTCAGATGTTCTTTTGTTGAACGCAGAAAGAATAATAATGGCAACAAATTTATTTAGTTCTTCTATTGTTATATCTAAACCGTTAAATTTCGAAGCTTCAATGATATATTCTTTTATATTTTTACAAAAGAACATTTCAAATAATTCAACAGGGGTACTATTAGCAATCATTTTACGATCTTTATCTTTTAACAAATATTTATTATATGGAATTTCATCATACTTTTTCTCTCCATCTGTCCAATCGTATACATGATATTCTTGCAAACGTTTCTGAGTGTTAGAGTAACTTTTTTTAACTTCATGGTACGATAACAATTTTTCAACAATTTCTTGAACATCGTTTTCATCATCAGCGTCGTCATTTTCATCAGCATTATCTTCATTTTCGTCATCATTATCTTCATCACTAACATCTTCAGAATTGTTAGATTCGTTTTCAGATTCTGAATCTGAACTCTCAGGATATGGTAGCATAACAACATCTACCGTGTCATCATATTCAGACACTTCACAAGATTCACTTGAAAATGCAATTTGTTTTTTATTTTTATTACACCTTCTTTGAGGTAAAATGCGTTTTTTTCCAGACATAATACCAGCAATTATTTGAGAAAACCAAAATTAAAAAGAAAAAACTTAATTACAAGTAATTTCCTTTTAAGGTTTACAAAATATTTGAATGAAATGGTTGGATATCTCACCACCTCAAACTAAAAATGTTAAGTTGATAAACTACACGGCATACGACAATAATAAAATCCTAAATTTTTTGAAAATATACTTTCACACAAAAAGAAATTTTGTTTGAAATAAATCCCTTCTAAAAGGCTTTCAAAATATCGCTGTAGTAAAATTGCAGGGGTAACTCGAAATACATTTTTCAAAATAGCAAATGCTACAAAAAAATATCGACAATAGATATAAGATTATGATATTTTTGTAATTGATTTTTATAAATTAAAACTGAAGTTTATTATTATTTTTTTTTAAAACTTGCTTAGTAATGTGTTACGGCCAAGGCCTTTATTCATAACATATGTAAAATTAGTAATTTGAAGTTAACAAATATTTCTAAAAATGAACTATTATAGAACTCTTTTGCTCAAAATAATGAAAAATACTTATTAAAAAATGTTATAACACATACATTTACTTAAAATTGGCAAAAATAAGCACTTCCAAAAAAAAGTATAAATATTTTTGGATTTTCGGGAAATTCAAATTTTCAATTTTCCAAAAATTTTCCAAATTATTTAGTAAAAATTCACACGTGTTCCTCGACCAATTCTAAGCACTTTTTGTTCTACAACAATTTTTCAAGTTGACATTTTTTGAGTAAAAAAATCATGAATTTCTAAATTGCACTACGATACAAAAACCGCCATATTTTTTTTTCTAATCAACATTTTTTAATAAAGTCGAATGCGCTTGAAAGATAATTGTCCCATGTCGCGAAAAAAATTATTTAGGGAACCTATTTTACGGTCCATTTCTTTTCAGCAGAGCGAAATTTGGAGAAAAATTGAAAGAAATTTGGAATTTTTTCGAAAAAATCGGCCATATTTTTTTTCTGTCAAGATTTTCAAAAAAACTTGGTGATTTTTCGAAAGAGCATAGACTAAAACATAAGGAAACCAAATTTCATCCAAATCTATTGAGAATTGTACGAATGGCATAATGTCAAATCGAAGCATTGCAGCCATGGACGTTTGCCACTTAATGGGTTAATGTGTTCTTAAGAAGGGTAGAGAAGTTCGCCAGACGCTCGCTTAATGAACTTCTCAAAACGGGGAAGAGGTTCACCAGACACAAGCTTAATGAAACTCTGACTATTGGAAACGAACAGGAAGAAAGTAAGAGACAGAAACTAAAAATTTTAACTTACTTTTCTTTTATTTTTTTCTTCTTGTTTCTTTATTTTACGGTTGAGCACCACACACAGACACACTGTAAGATTGGTCCGGTTGTCCCTTGTCGTACTGTTGTCGGGTATTCTCCTCCTGGAGTTATTAGCTTGCTGATTTCTACTACTGTTGTCCTCGGATAACTGGGGTGGAACTCCTCTAATTTTCACGGGACCCTCCTTTTATGCACTTTCGCACCAGCATCCCACTCTCCCTTTAGACAGGAGGAACTTAAGATTTTCCTTACTTAATTGGCCGGAAAATTTAGGGAGTGTCCCAAGCCTGGGTGAAATTCGGGCCCTAATTGGTCGGGGCGGAGCGTCCGGGAGTGGCCTCATTTAAGCGTTTCGGGCCCTCTTCATAAAGATGGCCCTCTATGTACTATTTTGACCTTTTATTGTTTAACTTATTCTATTTAAAATCAATTGTGTGTGGTACTCTAATTTTACAAAATATCTCTTAATCTATAATAAAACTAAAGGAGAGAACAAAAGTTAAGAATTACGTTTATCTAAAAACAATCAGGATATTAATAGCTTTGACTATTAATTAATTAATAAAAAAAATCAGAGTTAATTACAACAAACATAATTAATAACTTTCGTTCAAGCCATTCTTAAATTGTCTAACGCAAAGTTGAGCGCATCCAACAATTATATATACGAAACTCGCAAAGAAAATGAACTAATAAATACGGGAAGATAAATTTCGCAATTTTTTAAGAGACCTGCAAGCAAATCTGCTTCCTTTAATTTAAAATAAATTAGCAATAATGAAAATAAATTATTTAAAATAAAATAATAGTACTGTTGGTAGGTGCACATGTGCGTTACAGATCTCTACTTTCTAAACATGCGCGCAATCTGGCTACTCCGGATGACGCGATCGTAAAATCGCTCTGATAATCTCCAGCATCCGAAAGTCGCCAGATGCGCGAGCCGAAAACTGCCGTTCACAGGAAAAATCGTCTTTATTCAGCCGTACGCAGTTTTTCATCTTAATTTACGAGCTAAATGTGTGGTCGGTATTTTTTTTTATCTTATTCTCTTTTTTTTTGGACCCGCCGTTACATCTGTATATATATTTTTTTAGTGTTTTATAAGTGGTGACTAGATACCAGTTATCCAGACTACTTGAAAGAAGATGGAAAGAAGGGGTACAGCAGTATAAAGAATTTAATAAGTTCAAACAATATGTTTCAGCAAAAATTGCCAGTTTGAAAAAAAAAGAAAAGTGTAAAGCCAAGAAAGGTACGATTTTCTTTATTTCTCATTTATTTATTTTATTTGGTTATTTATTTCTATAGAGTTGCATAAAGCACCTGTGATGTGAAAGTCTTAAAACTAAATGATAAAACTTATTACCGCTTTGAAAAAACAATAATATTTTATATTTTTATATATAATATTTTTGTCAAAACCTTTCTTTTTTTTAATAATATTTGTGTTATTTATAGAGAAAACAAGTTTAACTGACAAAAGTAATGACGAACAACCATTTGAAAAGGATTTTGACAATCAGCTCATATTCCGTAAAAACTCATTGATCTTTGTCCCTACTAATGAAGACGATAGTGGATCTGAAGTGGGAGAAGATTACCTTAGAGATGATGAAGATGAAGACCCTTTTATCGACGTGTCTGAAACTCATGAAGAACAGGCCCAGGAAAAAGAGTGATTGCAAATTAAAAACTAATATTGTCGTCAAGTATTATCTACTATTATATATAATATTATTACTCATATCTTGTTTGTATTAATATTTAATTTGCTGTTTAAATTAATACTAAACTATTATAAAGTACATCGCATACATAAAATAGTTCTTCTAAGCTTAAAATTTGTCATGTCATCATAACATGCTTAACATTTGTCGACATTAATTGGCAAATAAAAATCCAATTCCGTTGATATTTACAGAATTAGTTATAATTTCAAACCTAATAACGTAGTAGAACTTTAGATGTAGCTAATTAGCCATTGGTAATAAGCAATGTATTAAGTCCATGTCTCTTCCTTCGTCTCCTTCTAAATACCAGGTGGTACTGTTAGCGGCCCGAACAATTTAATTTCCTTTCTTGTTTGATATATTTATCTACCATTTTAAATTTTTTATAGGATGTCTTCATATCAACAGATGTTTCTTTTTTCAGGTTTAGGGTGGTGTGGAGCATTACTTTTAACAAACTCTTTTTCAACATTTTCTTTTTCAGCCACATTATTATTATCTTTTACCTATTTATCTATAACAATTTTAAGGTTATATTTATATTTATAAGTTCAATTTCAAAAAATTTTGTTGAATAATTTTCTGTGTCACATCTGCCGAAGTTACTTTACAGTATTTTATTTATCAAACAATCTAACAACTTATGTTTCTCTTCATCTTTAAGAATGTTTATTCGAAGCTAAACTTTGTAAAACACAGATTTTCAATAAATTTATATGTGCTAAGAATAAATATAATTTAAGAGCATTAAAATTGTTTTATCATATTATTTTAAGGTTAGGCCGTTGAGTGAATGTGGATGCTATTTGTTTTTAATGTTTCCAAAGTCTCTTACTTATTTGTTATTCACTCAATTAATGAATATCAAATCAATGTAAAACAACTCGAGTTATTTATTAACATCAATTTGTTGAATATGTTAGCTGCTCTGCTAATAATGGCTTGTATACACTAAGTAAGTGTAAAACATGTACATATACATGTACATACTACTCGTACCACATGATTCTAACCCACGTGATTACCTTTCAGTCAATCACATCACGAATAAAACGCGACACTTTCCAGTCCATCGCTTTATTTACACAAGGTCACTGACCAGCTTACATGTAATCTTACTCTCTCTCTCTCTCTCTCTGTCTTCTCATAATACATGAAAAGATAACATTAAAATATTATCATTACATACAGCACACACCACACACACACGCACTCCAAATGAAGAACTTACTAAGAACAAACCCCTTAGTGTATTAAGGTTATTGACTTATAACCTATTTCTCCAATAACTCAAACTTTAATTGACATTGCAACCCTTAAAATAAGGGTGCCTAAGGTTCAGGGGGAATTGTTCCGAGTGGTTGATGAGGATTTAGGTGATTGTTCCTCCCTCTTAGGTTACTGCACCATTGCAATAAGTAGTAAAAATTGTTACTAACAACGAAAATGGGATAAATAAAATAAATATTTGTGAACAGACCTTATCCAGTACTTGCACCAGTCCGTACAAGTATGGTTTTGTTTATATAAGTATTAATTGCAAAAATAGTCAATATGTCTGCATAAGTAACGTAAGTAATCATGGACGTATGAATACACACATATGTGTTAATAATTGAATAGTATTGAATATTAGATAAATAAATATTGAAAAATGACGTTATATCATATATATAAAAAATAAAAACCATTCGCGTGAACGGATGCAATAATGCTGCTATCCCATTCATTCAGAGAGTTATATTGTGATCCAAATCTATTGAAAGCAATTTATTATATGATAAACGATAATACTATAAAATCCTACCATTATCTATTCGTTTAATTAAATTTTTTATCATTAGATATCATTGAAATCCTACAAACAGAAATATTAATTGAATACTATTTAAATCTATTAAATAGCATTTGTGTGTATTGTAATTGGATATTATTAAAAATTATTGAAACCGTGTAGTA